CTATTCAAAAAAAAAGCCTAACCGGGTCCATCTTAAGGATCATTTTGTCATCTATTTTACTTTCATCTCTAAATATTCCGGATCTCTATATGAATGGACCTCTTTTGAATGAGAGTGGAAACTCCTCAAAATGATTTACCTTAATGGAAAATGGATCCCGCACAACCAATTCGGTAATGAATCATGGTTCATTTAGAATTGACCAAATAAGAGCCAACAATAAAATCACAATCCCAAATTTAACATCCAATTTGAGGCACTCTAAATCATCAAATGGTATATTTATAATACCACCATCGGGGTTACATTTTCGGCTGATGTTTTTTTTTTTATGGCCAAACCAAGAAAAATCAAAGGCTCTTGACTCAGCATGTTCAATGTTACCTAGTATTTTGGGAAGTTCCGAAGAGTTAAGAAATATTTTTGGAACTCAAATGGTATTTTATAACGATGTGAATCGTCCAAACCAGAGCTTTATAAACTTTATATTGATGGCGGCATTTCCCCATTGAACCGATGGATTGAACACGAAGAGGACGTTGGGGGACTTTAAAAACAATTGCTAGGCGTCGTCCAAAGGCGAGATTCCCCCAATGTTTCCTCCACCAACTCTTCGAATGTTGGTTAGCCAAATTTGAATTTTAGTTAAGGATGATCGCTCTAAATTAAAATTAAACAAGTTATTATCGATTTTTTAACATTGTTTTAGGCTAATGGTTCGCACACTTTTTCATCGATGCTCATAAAGTTGTTTAAACTTTCTCTTTTGAAATATTCCTAATGAATTTGTTAAAATTTATCAGATTTAACCGTTTCGTTTTTTTTTACTCACAAATCACCGTTTTAAAGAGGTAAAACCTTCAAAGTTTGGTCTTAACGCGAATCAAAAAAGAGGAGGCCACCCAAAAGGCAAACCCCACCGAGAATTCACCGTCCCATAAACTTTTTAAAAATCTTGATCTATTTTATTTTCTAACTGCAAGCCATTCCAGTTTCAAATTGAAATTTAACTTAGAACGTTCCAAATATAGTCTAGCTTGTTTCCGGGGGATGCGGCCCTTTGATTGCCGATGGGAAATTTTTGACGCCCCTTGTTTTAACTTTAAATCCTCAGGGGTAAATTATTCATCTTTAGCCTGTTATGGAATATTTAATCGGTTTAATTCAAAATTCAATAAATTCACTTTTCACTTTGACATCCGTATTCTCGAAGTCCTGTTCTACAAAGCGATTTTATCCTCCCCCCCCCCAACTATCTTTTTCAGAGCAAATTGGGGGCGGCGCACTGCCATGTGGTTTGTTTCTCAAAATCCCCCGGAAGCTTCAAGGGTTTAGTTTTTATTTATAAGGTCATTCGTCACCGTGAGGATGAATTTCGCATGATAGTTAAATAACTCCATCTGGGGTATGGTGTTGTTATATTTAATGTCAAATTATCTTTCACTGTAATTTTGACACCGCTTTCTAACAATAGTCTAGTGATGCGACATCCGCGCAAAAGACCTTCACAAAGCACTTACTGAAAATACCCTGAATATTGTGCAACGTTTGATGTGTGATGAAATCCCCAAAAATCTATCACAAGATTTTTCATTTATACTTATCTGCATAGTTGTTGTACCTTTAAAGGGGCTGACAAGTACGCTATTCAACATGGACCCTTAGCAAAGCCACTAAATTGGCTCCTGGATTGGATGGTATCGGGGTTATATTTTTCCATAGCCCGGTATACTGCCTTCTTCAACTAGTCTGGGTGTAGTTAAAGGGAAAAATTCAACATGTAAGCCAAGAAATGGCTAGATTTATCGCCCGTAAGAAAGCCACAGCACGTCACCACCACAAGGTCGCCTATGTGATGTTAGCGCACGCAGGAATTGGTGCGGGGGTTTTCTTTGCAAAATATTTATTTTAAATTTTACCACCGAATCCTGTACAATAAATGCTAGCGCGTAAATATCTTAAAGTGAGCTTACCCTTTTTTTAAATATTTTTCAAGCTAATTCTTATGGTAAGTGCAGCTCCACAGGGTATGCGGATTCATTCTTGGATTTATTTCATTTTTGTTTTTATTGGAATTAGTGCTAATTATATTTTACTAGAGAAGGTGATATGTTTCATCTATGAAAAAAAAGCGGCAAATGGTAAAATCTAGTAAATAAATGGATTATTTCAAAAGTTGTATACTATTCATACTTTTTATTTATATGAGTGTGGATGATTTATTTTTCCACAACGTGTGTTGTTTTGTGTACATGGCAAAATGAATATAACAGGAGGCTTCACTGTGGTTCTTTGTTAACCCAAAGAGATCAAAAAAAAAAAGAGTGTAAGAGTTCCCTTTTTTGTAATTTATTTAACTTGGGCTGTAAATACACTCTTTAATGTTAAGGTACAAAGTTGTTTGCTCCTTTCCTTTCTGAATATTTTTGGATGAATACCTTTAGGGTGTTAAAAAATGATTTATTTATTTACCCGAAGCTTTAGAAATACTTGTATTTCCTTTTAAAAATTTACCTTTTGTGGATTATTTTATCTCATTAATTCTGTTGTGATTTTCTCCACTCTTTTATAAAAGGTATGATAATTTGTAGTAATAAAAAATATTGTATGTTCTTTTCTTCTGTGTAACCATTTTATTTTTACAAATTTCTTATTAACTTTATATTTAAAATGATAAAAAAAATATTACTGTGTTTCTACTATTGTTCTGTTTTTGTATATATTTTTTTATCTTTCGCTTATATAATTCTCTATTTTTAATCACTTTTAACAATAAATTAAAAATGTATTTTATTATATTAAAAGTATAATAATAATTTAGCCTTTGATGTCACGTTTTTAGATACTTATTTTTTAAATTTACTTATTATATCTCTTACATGTTTCTCGAATTTTTTTCAAACGTTATAATATATATATATTCATCTACATAAAAAAGTGATATATATGCAAAAAAATCAGATTCCTTATTTTAGGTGCATGTCTTACTACTATCAATTATCTGTTCAGAAATATGGATTTTATCAGCGAGGCCTTAAAACAAAAATGAGGATTGTGGCCTTAATTGTGTATATTTTTCATTTTCCAAAGACTAAGAAAAGTACACCTGTAAGTCAGTTGAGGAGCTGCACAAAGAGCAAGGGTGGATCCACGAACCACATTCCCATAATCTTGGGGGGCCGTGTATCGTTGCCATGGTAACTGCTGCCCAATTGACTTCACACATGAATTT